GGGCGTGACCCCGGGCCGCCGTCACCGCGGGGAGCGCTGGACGCCTGGCCACGGTCACGTGACTCCTGTGCGACCGGTGGGGTGCCGCGACGACACGCCGAGAGGCGCCGTCACGGTGCTCCTCCGCCAGTCAACAGGGCGGACTACGCCTTCAATGGCTAGCGCGGCAGGCCGAGGGCTCCACTGACCGACCAGCACAGCAGATTGAGGACTCCACTGACCGACCAGCACAGCAGATTGAGGACTCCACTGACCGACCAGCACAGCAGATTGAGGACTCCACTGACCGACCAGCACAGCAGATTGAGGACTCCACCGACCGACCAGCACAGCAGACCGAGGGCTCCACCGACCGACCAGCACAGCAGACCGAGGGCTCCACCGGCCGACCAGCACAGCAGGCTGAGGGCTCCACCGACCGGCCAGTACAGCAGGCCGAGGGCTCCACCGACCGATCAGCACAGGAGATCAAAGACTCCACTGCAGCGGCCAGCCCATCCAACCGAAATTGATCAAAGCAGCCGACCAAAAACGCCATGCACAAATTCCAGTTAACGCAAGGGACCGAGAGCTTCGCTGGATAACATAGCTAACTCAGTTGACCAGCACACCTCCACCGATAACCTACTGGCAAATACAGGCGGTCACAAGCTTCCGCTGACCGACAGCGCGGGTCGAAAATCCCGCAATTCAATGAGTAAGCCAGGTGACCACAATGCTGACCGCTGCGCAGCACGGAAGGTCACGAGCGGTCACAGGACAGCCCCCGCTGCAGGGGCCACGGGACAGCCCCAAGTTACAGTGGCCACATGACAGCCCCCGCTGCAGAGGCCACGGGATAGTCCTGAGCTGCAGAGGCCACGGGACAGTCCTGAGCTGCAGAGGCCTCGGGACAGTCCTGAGCTGCAGCCAGCCGCCGCGGGAGGCTGGCGACAGCGGGCCTCGGCGCCCCGGGACAGCGCGCCTCGATGTGCGCTCGCGGTCTCGGGACAGCGGGCCTGTTCGCTCGGCGCCCCGGTACGCGGCGGAGGGCGCGCGCCGCCGGCGGGCCGCTCCCGAGCCCGTTTGTTTAGTGGGCCGGGCCGCGGGCCGGGCACGCATTCTTCTCGCCCGAACAGAAACAGAGAGTGGCGCTATCTGGCGGGCCGATCGGACGGGCCTCGGAGCCGCCGGCCGGGCCGGGTCCGGCCGGCCACCGTCCGCCTGGCCTGTCAGCCGCTCCACCGACACTGGCCTGTCAGCTGCTACACCGACACTGGCCTGTCAGCCGCTCTATCGACACTGGCCTGTCAGCTGCTACACCGACACTGGCCTGTCAGCTGCTACACCGACACTGGCCTGTCAGCCGCTCTATCGACACTGGCCTGTCAGCTGCTACACGACACTAGCCTGTCAGCTGCTACACCGACACTGGCCTGTCAGCCGCTCCACCGACACTGGCCCGTCAGACGCTCCATCGATACTGGCCTGTAGCTGCTCCACTGGAACTGGCCAGCCAGTCGTCCAATGTACTTCATCTGTCAACCGTCCACTGTACGTGGTCTGTCAGCCGTCCATTGTATCTGGTCTACCAGTAGTCTACTGTACCTAGCCTGTCAGCTGTCTACTGTACCTGGTCCGTCAGCCGTCCACTGTACCAGTCCTGCCAGCCGTGCACTGTACCTGTCCTGCCAGCCGTCCACTGTACCTGGTCTTTCAGGCGCTCTCTGACCTCTGCCGGCTACATCTGCCGTGTACCGACCTCCAGAGCTCACCGCCCAGCCGTCCGGCGTACCCGGCGTGACCTGTCAGCTGTCCCCACCTGTCCAGCCCGCCGCTCCGGGCTCGACAGTCGTTCCCGCCCGTCCCGACCGGTCAGGCGGCAGGACAATGGGCCGACCCCAGGCGCTCGCGACGCACTACACATACCGGCCCAGACCCACGGGCCGCTCCACAGGCGTACTCGCCGACGCAGGCGCGCTCACGCAGTCGGGCGTGCTCGGTTTAAGGCAGAGGCTATCCTCCAAAGCAATTGGACATCATGATTTGTTTTATTGACCTATAAGGTCACTTGTCCTAGTGGCATACAATTAAAGAAAGCGTTTAATGTTGCTGGCTTCGTTTTCGCCTGCTCTTCAAAGACCACGACGGCTAATTCTGTCTTTTATAAGCATGCATATCCACACGAAACTCACACGCGCACGCACGCACGCGCGCACACTCACGCAAGCACGCACGCACGTCGGCGTGCACTCGGCCACGCACGCGTGCACGCACGGCGGCGGGCGGCGCATCTGCAGCGGCGTGGCGCCGGCGGCGGGCGGACGAGGAGTGCCGAGGAGCGGCCGGGGGCCGGCGGCGCCTCCCGCTCCTGGTATGCGGCACGTTTTTGCGTCTCACTCTGCGGCGGCGCCGGCCGGCCGCCAGCCGCAAGGGTGTGTACGACGCCCGTGTCGCCGGCGTCCGCTGACGGGTCAGGGAGCGCCTCGCCTCTGCGCCGGCCACGGGCGGCCGTGGCGCGTCCGGGGACGGTTCTCCGGTCCTTGTCAACTCTCGGACTCTACCCGTCTCCCTCCCTCTCCCATTCCTCTCCCCATTTGAGACGCTCGAAGACTTCCGCCTCTCTCTCTCTCTCTCTCTCTTCTCTCTCCTTCTCTCTCTCTCTCTCTCTCTCTCTCTCTCTCTCTCTCTCTCTCTCTCTCTCTCTCTCTCTCTCTCTCTCTCTCTCTCTCTCTCTTCTCTCTCTCTCTCTCTCACTCTTTCCTCTCTCTTCTCTCTCTATCTCTCTCTCTACGCCTCTCTTTTCTTCTCCCTCTTCTTCCTCTCCTTCTGTTCAAAACTCTCTCCATCCTTCCTGTAACGCACTCAAGCACTGCATATCGTGGTGCGGAGCAGTGCTTTGGAAATCTAATAAGCCAATGTATCCGAAACCTCTACGCCGAAGGCGCTCAAGCACATTAGCGGACCAGATAATTGTCGCCAGAAGGAAACCAGAGAAGCATAGATCTAATGGAAAAAGGGAAGAAAATGACGTCATCAGAAGACACAACAGATGCTACAGGAACAGCAACAGCGTCTACAGTTAGGGCTTCAGCAACAACACAGCGTGTGAAGTCTTTGGTCTTCCCATAAATATGCCTCTTCACGACAGGCATTTTGGCATTCATAGGGAGCCAGGCGTTCTCAATGGCCCAGGCTTTCTCAAATGCCTTTTCAGGTATTACTTGGTACACCTATTCTATTTACGTGTTGGCAGGAGCTGATCGCATTTGTCATCAACCAGCGCCATGGTGTACAGTCCCGAATCCAGGGATGTTTTTGACATGGGGCCCACTAACGAAACGCAAAGCCGATGGGTCTGCAGCACATACCATCCAAAGCTATGGTGAAACAACTGTACAGACTCTGCACCGTGCCGACAAAGCTGCAAAGCGGTTGGCAGAGCCAGACGAGTCTTCTGTTGCAGCCTCCGGCCCAGCTCTGACTCGCCGGGATCCCCCGTCGTCGTGGACCGAGTCTGCAATGCCTGCCACAGGCTGGTCCAGAAGTTGAGGTGATATGTATGTGGAGTAAAATGTCTGCCAGCGACCCAGTTGTGACTGAGACGGTTAGCAAGGTTTTGTTGATCAAGTGTGAAACCATTTGGAAACCATCAGTGTAATGCTCAGAGTAACAGAGTTACGCTGTTTTTCAGTGTGTCATAAACAGCCGATGGACAGCAAAAGTAGCACTCCCAAAGATTGCCCAAACGGACGGAACTCTCATTAACGCGGTTTGCACCTCGTCCTCCCAACGAGCCTGATCAAAACGGCTGTTTAAGCGTGCTGAGTCGTGGCGTAAGCCTCAGCTGCCCCCACGCCCACGTCCGGAAAATGTGCCAGTGAAACACGCACGGGGCGGAGGTTCCCGGCGTCACTGCGACGCCCCATCTGCGGTGCTGCCGGATTCCGGTTACACTTTCTCCGCCGCAGCGACGGGCGGCGCCAGGAGCGCGCGCCGCCCGTCACACCTGCGGCCCCTGACGCCATCCGACGACAACGGCGGCGCCCCTGACGCCGGCGCCGGCCGTCGCGGCTCCTCTGACGCTCGCGGCGGCTGTTCCGTGCTCGGGATCGGCACACGCCGCCGCCGCCCGGAAAACGCGCGGCACTTCGCCGTCCGGCGGGTAATGACGGGGTGCACGGGCGGCGCGCTGCCGGGCGGCGCGTCACCGCGGTGTCACAGCGGACGGGCGGCGCACCGACTCTGGTATCCCCCGGCGCGATAGGCGTTCAACTCGCGCTCCCATTCAGAGCGTCGCGAGGCCGCAAAAAGGCGGACAATGGCGCCGACTCGGAAACGCCGGAATGGGGGCCGTTTGTGAAACAACGGGAATCTATCGCAGCTGGTGGGATCATGCGAGCTTTCCACACTGCTGGCGAGTTTCATGCGTATTCATTCAATCGATCTCATGCTTTTTCAAAAGCAAATCACAAAAGTATGCCGGCTCGGTTTCAAACGTTGACAAAGTTAAGGCGTACTGCGAGTACTGGCGAGTTCACCACAGTTCAGCAAATGGGTTCCTGTGAGCACGATTTCGTGCCGTGAAATGTTAGATGAGGCTGGTTGCTTGTGCCACCAGCCTCACCACAGGCAAATGGATTCTTAACTCTTTGACTTCTGAAAAAGCTATAGATTTGCACGAGGAGTTTGTGTTGTGGACAAAGAATGTGGGGAGCATGAAAGACACCATCACGCCTCAGGCTATTCATTACCTTCCCGACCTTATAGCGTAAATGGCAGTGTCCTAACCCATTTTTTTCCAGAGCGCAGCTCCTGTCACATTCAGAAGTCTCTACAGCATAAGCTCCTGTAAATCCACGCTCACAGACATTCGACACTCAAGAGCAGCGGCACGCGTTTAGTTTGTGGCCGGTCTCAGGACGTTAGCTTGAATGCGCAACCTTGCTCACCACGGACTGAACCCGGGACCACCAGCAGCTGCACGAGCGGGCGACGCTTCGGGCCGGGCCGACCCATCACCGTCAGTCGATCGGTCGATCTTCTGACCAGCCAGTGATGGCCGCAAACCACGCAGGACTTTACATGCCTGGAAAAGATTGGTACTACGCAGGACTGTCTTAGGCAGGATGTGATGCACCGTGGCAAGGGCGGAGCACGCGACCAGCGTGGATGAAATGAGT